GGCTGACATTGCAAGAATTCTTTTGAAAAATCAGAAAGCAAATATGATTTTATTTAATAATAACAATAAGCTGTAAATCATAATAATAAATATAGTTAAGTACTCACTTCCATTTAGGTATGCACAGATATTCATAAATATTTATGCCGCTTAACAGTAGGTCACATGGTAGTTGTATTTTAATAGTATTCCCTTAATCGAGTTAAACGCAAGGCCAAATGACCACACAAAGATAATTTAATTACATATAGGATAAAGTATACACCTGCCAAAATTTTTTTGACAGATATTCAAAATCCACTGTAAGTTTAAAAGAAATCATTCCCGTTATCATCATTGAAACCATCTTTGATATTATCACCGTAATCATCATCATCCGCTTCGAAAAAGCCATCCGAAAGGTTATCCACATCATCATCGTCGTCCTCCTCCATATTGGCACTGTTTTTACTGTCTTCGCTCTCATTATCATGTTCCAAATCGACTAAATTATCGGCTTCCGTTCCATCCTCCCCATTACGAGTCCTCTTCTTTCCAACTACCCCGGCGTCGGTGGTTGACTTCTTGACTTTGTCATCCGACGCCACCCGCGTCCCAGTCGATGTGGCTAGATGACCCGTATCCAGGACCACCTTCGCCCCACGGCGAATCGGACGAGGCGGTTGGGGCCGTCGGCTGGGGCGAATCCGCAGCACATTAACCGCCTCCATTTTCCCACGGTCCTTTCCTGACACAGGCCGTAGCTCCATCATCCCCCCTGTGCCAAGGGCCGTGACAAAGGAGCGCAGTTCTAGCGGAACACGTGCCATCTCGGCTAGCCCCAATAGGGCCATTTGCCGTCGCTCAATCGTCACAGACGAGTCCGTCTGGTTTCTGACAACCCTTTTACGAGCCACAGAACCCCCTACAGGGGGTTTGATCTCGTCTTGAGAAGGGGACGGTGAGTTAAATAGGAGATCCGGGTAGTGGAAGATGTTCAACGGCTCGCACCAGATGGACTGCGGTCCCCCTAGCACGTCAAATAGTCCCCGTTCATCCATCATCAAGGAGGATGGCACAAAGCAATCAAAGAATTTACTTAAAAAGGGAGGTGGACGCTTGTTAACAACCGTACCAGATGAAGCTGATGATCCGGATGTCGTCCCCATGGGTCGTCGAGTCTGGTGAAGCTGCTGTGGTTGCGGTTGCTGTAAATGGGGCTCACAAATAGAATCCGCGTCAATGCTGGGTAATACGACCAGTGGTGGTGGTAAAAATACAGAATGCGGGTCATTTGAAGATAGCTGAGCTGTCGATGATATTGAGGGAGCAATTGGATCCTGTTGGAGGTGGTAACGATAAGGTCGTGGAGGATAGAGCGCTTCTTCGTAGGTGGTGATATTTGAACCGGGCTGAACCTTGTCAACATTTTGACGCTTTAAGAATCCTCGCATCTTCAGAGGATAACTTCGAAAAACTATATCAACAAAATAAATGACAAGAAACGACTGAACAGTAGGTAGCTTACCCTCATCTACCCTTCCTCACTTTACTATATATGTGTATTACATAGTAAGCAAGAATTCAGGTTGTAGTAGGGGAAAAATATGACAAAGCAATATTGTAAAATACCAAGGACATTTGTTTGACATACACTTTCCCAGCTATTCATATTTTAACTTCCCAAGAGATAAGCTAATATATTTTATCTGTTGTACAATGTACAAGCAAGAAATTCATAAACAAGTAGTTGAAAAGGGAGTAAATACGAATAGTCATCAAAGGTTGAAAAAAATAAGAGATGACACGGGCAATATTGAATTATTATTATTATTATTATTCAGTTCAGTGAATTTAATCGTATATAAAGATACCCTTATAATAAATCTGCCTGTATTACCACTCGCATGCAGAATATGAATGGAAAAAAAAGTAGAATATATATGGAAATATAATCTAATACCACCTATTTATCAAACATTATAACTCAAATAGTGGTCTTAGTCATTGATAATGGGTATCAAAAATTAGCAGTAAGGAATGGGGTATACTGTTAGGAATACTTTATAGATGCCTTTAGTCTGGAGTTCTTTATTCTAATTGGCTAGATTCAAAAATCGTATTTATTCAAGAGCTGTTTATATAGTAACTGAACTATAGTAGAGATCATATTTTGAGAAAAATATTATTCATGCAACCAAAATGAATGCCAAGAACTCTAGAAAACTAAGCTAGATTTTTATTTGAACAGTAATTACGAGCCAAGGTATTTTCCTAGTCATGTCCATAATGAAGGATTGGTTCTTAAATATAGAATTTGGTTGATAATTTAATAAATCGCTATATACGTTTGGTTCTATGATTTCCAAGCCAATGTTTAATGACCTTCAAAACTAAATATCGCTACATTTAGCCTTTCATAATAAATAATTAGACTATTGAAGTAACGTCCATGCAACCATTGTGAATACTTTCATTCGACCCTTTATTTTGGGGGGGTTTATACTACTGTTTGTATTAATGTAGTCCTTGAACTAGTACAAATGTGTGAAAAGGTTAGGGTTTCGGTTTATTTTAGCATTTTTTCTCAATAAATTGTTAATTGAATGAATCAAAATGAAGCTAATTCATACTACGTTTATTAATATTTTTTGATTTGCCTTTGATTATTAAATCAAATGCCGTAACGATTACACATTTATCACGTCATATATATTATCAAAATTAACAGTATGCTTACTATTTAGTAAAAGGAATATCATTCCAAGGAAGATTTATTTTAAATATTCAACGACGATGATGTCTAGAGCTCCTCTCCTTGATATCATCATGTCGTCTATGCTGCCTCTTTCTATCTCTTGTTCGTTCCCTCCTACGCTTTCCATGATCCTTTTCACGATCCTTTCCATGATCCTTTTCACGATGTCTGTGCCTGTCTGATCTGTCTCTTTCTCGTGTAGTAGAATGGTTGCCCTCGCGCGTGGAATTTTTTCGAGATTCTCGCCTATTATCTCCTTGGTGAGCGATAACATTTTTTTCTTCCTCATTTTGTTGTATCTTCGCAAATTTGTTTATCCTCGGAGGTTTACCTGGAGGTGGTAATGGAAGAGGACCTGTCCTCTTTTTGAGACTGCATATTACTTTCTCGCCGTTACTAAGAACGTATTCCTCTGATGGTAATATCACATATTGAACTTCATGATCAGTAGAACACTTTATGGTTTCCTCCTTTGTACCTTCTGTTACTCCTATAAGTGCAAGCAACTCCGAAGCATATCCTGGACCCATTTCAGAATTAGTAGTATCATTTTTTTTCTCAGTCACTTCTACTGTTGTATCATTTTTTTGAAAAAAACCACCATCTTCGAATGATTTAACAAAAGGTTCCTCTGACTGCGACACATTTTTGGCAGCTTCCACTTGTTTTGAAACTTTTTCTAACTCAGCCTTTGC